TGTGTGACTTAGACATTGCCTTTTACACTTTAGTCCAAGACAGCTATAAGGACCATATAGAATTGCTTAAACTAGTGGATATATTGAAAAATGAGAACAGTTCTCCTGAATTGATTGCCAGTCTACCCCCAAACCTGGCCAAGCCATATGCTGAAGGAAGATTTACACTTCTAGATGGTTTGTTATATTTCAGGAATAGGCACTCTAGTGTTCTAGTACTCTGTGATCAAGCCCAGATAGATAATATCTTGTATGAATGCCATGATAATGTCAACTCTGGCCATTTTTCTGAAGACAGAACAGTAGAAAGAATTAAGCATACTGCTTGGTGGATAGACTGGAGGTCTCAAGTATCTGACTATGTCAAATCTTGTGAAATTTGTCAGAAGTCAAATAAGCAGACTGGTAAGAGATATGGCTTACTTCAGAAAATTGCTGAACCCACTACTAAATGGGAAATAATTAACATGGACTTTGTTACTGGTCTTCCCCCTGGAGGAGCCTATTCTTACAATTCAGTCCTAGTGGTAGTGGACAGATATTCCAAAAGGGCTAGGTTTATCCCTAATCATAAGGATGACACTGCTATGGAAGTAGCCATGATATTCTGGAATAGGATAATGGCAGATGTGGGCATTCCCAAAATTATAATTAGTGATAGAGACCCCAAATTTACCTCTGAATTTTGGAGAAATCTTCATGATATGTTGGGTACAAAATTAGCCTTTTCTACTGCTTACCACCCCCAAACTGATGGTTTGGCTGAAAGAATGATCCAAACATTAGAGGATATGCTGCGCAGGTTTTGTGCATTTGGTCTTGAATTCAAAAACCATGATGGATACACTCATGATTGGGTTAGTCTTTTGCCTGCTTTGGAAATTGCTTACAACAGCAGCAAGCATTCTTCTTCTAATGAAATACCCTTTGTCCTTGAAAGAGGCTGGATACCTAGGATGCCTAAAGACACCTTGAATGATAAATTACCCCATATTCATCCTACAGCTCTTGACTTTAAAAAGATGCTAGATGTTACCCATAAACATGCTCAGAAGTGTGTTGAGGATGCAGTGGAGTATAATAAGAACAGATGGGATAAAAGCCATAAGCAGCCTGATTTTAAAATTGGTGATAAAGTTCTTTTGTCAACTATCAATTTTAATAATTTAGGTGGGAACAAGAAGCTTAAACCATCTTTTGTAGGTCCTTTTACTATCAAAGATTTGCATGGCAAGAATGCAGTAGAGGTTATTCTAAGTGATGAACTTTCTAGGAAACACCCTGTTTTCCCAGTTAGTTTAGTTAAACCTTACACCTTACGTGACAACTCTGAACCTTTGCCAGCAGCCCCAGTTCCTTTGTTAGAACCCAGTAAGGCAGACAAACTCCATGTATCTAAGATATTGAAGGATAAGAAAGAAAGGATTAATGGAAAAGATACTAGACTTTACTTAGTCAGATATAAACACCAATCTGCAGACAAGGATGAGTGGCTTCCAGAAAGCAACATACCTGATGGAGCCATTCACTTAAGGAATTACAGAGCTTCTAGGAGGAATTAAGTGTCTTAAATATCAAAAAAAAAAAAATTTTTTTCATACCCTTCTTACATTTTTTTTTACATTTTATCCTACGAGTTGGAGACTCATTTTAGGGGTAGGGAATGTCAGCCTGCTACTAATCAGAGCCAGCCTGAACATAGCTTTTACTTATTTAAGAGATATTATTACTTACATATGTACATACAGTTAAAATATTAAAATACACTATTTAAATAAGTTGAAACACTATAATAGAGATATTATTACACAGTACACTTACATTGTAAATATTTCATGAGAGAAACATTTAAATAATTAAATAAACCAGAGAAAATAACACTTTTAACCAGAATCTTCTAATAACTTCTGAACCTTAAGTATAACTCAGAATATTATTGCAGATTCTGAATTTACATGCAAAATAACCTAGGGTAGCTCACCAAGTGTACCCCTGAATTACTACTCCTTCACCTACTTTGTAGTCCTTGAGTGATATTGGACCAAAATACACTGTAGACCCCTCCAGTTACATCATACTACATGTTGTAAGGGGGCTACATGTGTAATTAAGGTTCATGCAGTTCGGGAAAAATCTACAAACAAGGTTTGCATCATTGAAACCTTAACTACATGAGCACAGACTACAGTATTAAATTGTTTGGGATGATCTGTGGCCCTTTTTGGCCCAATTGGGACAATTACTCTCTTGAAGATCAACCCATGCATCATGCAGTGCTGACATAGGCTACAGCAGTGTTACAGTTTCGTCAGAACACCCTGTAAACATGGTTACAAGCATTACATCATCTCCTTGACACCTGTAACCTAGCTCTACAGGTGCTACAGATGATCTAAAGCTCTCATAGGCTTAGTAGGAGAGCTACAGCAGCCAGAGAGACTCCTGAGTTCGCCCCCAGAGGCCCAGAATGGGTACTTAAGAGCCCCTTCTTCCCCCTGAACTTTGATCCCCCATCTTCATCAGTACTTACCAGCATAAACCGTCACCAACAACCAGTTTCAACCTGCCTTTTGGCCCAGTTCCTGCTGTTATCAACCTGAATTTCCATCAACCAACCAACACCTGTTCCCCAGCACTCCTCCAACCTCTCTCACCCACCTTTCTGAGCGCCTCAAGAACAGTTCCCCCCTCCTGAAGACCTCCTTGGCTTAGAGATAAGTACTAGTAAGTATTATTTCTTTGATTCTTCAGTTGTAGGCTATTTCTGGGCATACTCCTTTATTACAAAGGACCAGAACATCAGTACCACCCCTGTAACCCAGGACCTGATATTAGAGGGCACCTTAAAAACCTCTGTAAATAAAAACTTAACAGTTTTTATTTACTTTTCTTTTATTACCACACTTCTACCCACTTTTCACGTGTCACTCACACGTGTACACCTCTGAATTCATCCTTGCACCTAGTGTAGCTAGAAGAGTTTCAGCTCTTGGCATCACTGAGGCTGACAAACAAGTTGAGAGCCACAGGTCTGTAGGGTGTTGGGGCCGGTAAGCAACCAAGAACAAGATTCAGGTCGGCAAGGAAAAGCCAAATTCAATTATAAGCACCGTAGGGAGGATCCATCCAAGCAAAGATTGTAAAAAAAAAAAACGGTATAGACAAAGTGAAATCCGGTATTGTTGTAAGATTTGAAAGTGAAAAGGCTGGTATTCCTCCGTCAGCAAGATGAAAGTTGGGTCCGGTATTGTTTGTCGGCAAGATAAAAATTGGTCCGGTATGATTCTTTGGAGTTTGTCAGCGGAGCTGGTAACGGTTAACGGGATGCCTTAAGGGCTCATACAGAGTCACACCATGTGACCTAGGTCACAACACTCTTGGATTTGAAGTACATTGCTTGGAAATTCATCTCAATTTGTAGGTTTATCTCAATATTTTATCTACATGCATAAAAATCTCAAAACAAAGGTTAAGGATTTTTCCCAGAGAGGATCTTACAGAACGGAAATTGGTCAAATTTGGGGAACCCTTCAAGCCAAAAGAGGGGCCACAAAGGAGGCAAGCAAAGTTCCTGTGAGCACAACATACATGATGATACAAAGTTTGGAGAAACAAAAGAAGGAATTAGTTGATCATGTGAGTGAATAAACCAGGTTGTGAGAATGGGAATAGAAGAAAGAGAGAGAGAGAGAGAGTTTTGGGTACTTCACATTAGTTTTGCAGGGAGGATCACAATGGCCCCACGTAAACCAACCCAGCCAGACCATCAACTCCTTAATATGTTGTTTCCATTGACCGATCCGGGATTTGGCATAACTCTCCTTTGTTGAATCAGAGGTGACAAGCGAATCGATAGGAAGAGCCATCTCGATAGTCTGAGAGAAGATGCCAAAGATTGTCCCACAAAGGTGTTCCAAAGTCCCCTCAATAGCACCAATGATGACTTCTATAGACTCACTGATCGGCTCTGAAGAACGATCATAAGTCCCAGCCGTGAATCCTTTGGCACATTTTTTGTCAGAATCAAGAACCTGACACCTCAGGCGCCCCTGACCAGACTGAGCGCTTCCTCGAAAGCGCAATCAACTGTAAGTGCCTTCTATCAAACTGGACTGTGCCTAAACCAGTACCATGCTAAAAATGAATCTACCCCTTACCGTTACCTTAGGCAACGAGGACCAAGGGATGCACCAAGCCGGTCACAAAAACCCTACCGGCTGAACCAAGGCGTACGCCTGGCAGCGATGAACTACCTGAGCGCACAGTAAGCACAGTGACAAATCAGAACGCGAGACGAATAAAAAGACCTGACTCTCTGTCCTCTCTCGCAGCGTTCTTTATCTGTCTTCCACCACTCTAAACAGACCTATGTACATTCTGTTTTCCCAGTGTAAGACTGGGTTCGGGGCTGCACGCGGGGACAGTTGTTCACTGAGATTCCGCGCTTCTTTTCTCAAATCCCGCAAACCTCGATCCCGCCTGGATCCCTCACCAGTCCAACCCGACCTCACTGCTAAGTCTGCCTCCACACTGCCAACACTCCAAACCTATAGCTACTCCACTCGGCCACACGGCCCCCCCCCGCCAACCATTAATCGGATCTTAATCGACTTCAACCAATGACTTTCCTCACATCCTGACAGTCACATCACTCCATTGGATTGGTGCTACATATGTCTTTATTTTATTCTCTGAAAGAATTTATAGTTTGGTTCGCCATTCTCGCTTGTTGTTTTTTTTGCAGTTCACTGTTCTCGCTTGTTCTTTTTTTTATTTCACCGTTCTTGCTTGTTCTTTTTTGCTCGCTCATTGCATTGTCTATTTTGGCATTGTATCTAGATCGTAATTAACTATTTTGGCATTGTATCTAGATTGTAATTAACTATTTTGGCATTGTATCTAGATCGTAATCTACTTGATAGTGTGAACCAAATCTGAAACAAGCAGATGCAAAAAAACAAGCAACAATGAGTGAAAAATGGAAAGAGAACAAATGAAAATGGAAAGAAACTGTTAGGTATCATCATCATCAGGTACAACATGTTCAACATGACTATCATCGCCATCCTCAATTTGAGACTCGCCGTCTGAGTCTTGGTTGTTCAGTACAGTCTCTTCCAAGAGCAAATCAACATTGGATTCAGGCGAGCTATTTGGGCTATACTTTTTTAGGAATTCAATCAATGCTGTCCACTCAATTGGCAATGCACTGCTACAAACCAAGCCTAGCGTCAAGATTTCTTCCACTCCTTCATGCCATGAAAGGAGAAGGCTTTCATGATGCTTCTGTGTTGATTCTAATTCATCACCGACAACCTTCCTTACTTCATATGAGACCTGGCCAAAGGTACCCATCAATGTGGCTGTCAGATTTGAGTCGGGTGTACCTGAGAGAGCAAGCAATATTCATAAGCCCAGAGAATGATAATGACAATTGGTAACAAAAGAAGTACCAAATACACATTGATCAATGCAATTTTTTAGCTGATTTCTAAAGTTAATTCCCCACCATAAACATCGCTGTAACTCATCAAAGAGCTGTTCCAATTCCTCGTTTGCCCGATCCAGGCGTAGCAGTGCATGTATTCCAGTTCGCACAGTTAGATCAACAGCCCAAGGGTCCTTTGACAAACACATGAAGCCATCGTTCCAAAAAGGATCGTCTAGTTGGATCTTCCTAAACTCTTCATAGTTGATCTCTCTGTTTTCAGGCCTGTTCAGCTGATCTGGTGCGTGATTTTTCAAGTAATCGGTCCTGCGATCGCAAAAGAGTTTAAGAACTCTTTGGACAGATGCCTTCCGTCGCCCCAGTGCGTCGAATATCTTCTCCTTCAGTACCGTACCAGTTCTTTCCCCACGAGACTTTGAATCACGCAGCGGTTGTGTCTCTCCTTGAAGCTGTACTGCTGCTTTGTAAAGAGCACTTTTGGCACTCCAAAGGAGTGCAAGCCGTTTTTCTTGTGCGGCTACCAAGAAAATAACACAACAACCAAATCAATCAGCTGCATGTGAATTTTAGTGTGAAATGCATCACCCACGGTTTCGTTCAACACCAGGCCCAGCCATGAAATACGAGCCAAGCTTTTCCGCCTCTTTTTCTTGTTCTTTCCCTAAGTCACGTATCTCTTGCACTATTTTGAGTATTTGCGCAGGGTCTGCGTGCATGGAAGGATTTCCTAGGGATGAAACAAATGTCTCACTTGTAACCAATCAGATGTGTCAGATTGATTAGTAAACTTTTGTCAAGGATTACATAATTAAACATATTAGTACAAACAAAATCCAACATACGCAAGAGATTTCAGTGCTTCTGCTCTTTCCCAGAATTGGGCGTGTTCTTCTTTTTTTGTGCGATCAGCTTCATTCCTCTCAATCTCAAAGGCACGCTGCTTTTCCCATTGGGCCCGAAAAAAAGTTTCCGTAAAGCATCGTCCATCCTCATGAGGGTTTAGTTGGCTCAGCAGTTTTTGTACTGTGTTTTGTGAATTTCTCTTGGTCGTTGCCGCATGAAGCCACTTCCTTTTTAATGATGTTACTAGACAAGATAAAATACTGATTAATTGGACATCCAGACAAGCAAAAGTAATAAGAGTGAGAAAAGTCAAAAGAAAGTACCAAGATTTTCTATACCCAGTACATTATGGAAAAAGCTTCGGTGTGAAATAGCACTAATGCGATGGTTCCTTGTAGCATACCGAAGAGGGCTAATCAGAGGAGATAGGTATGACCAAAGACGTTCCAAGCCTTCTCCGTCGGTCAGACCCCATCCAAGATTATAGCGTGGGTTGTATTGCAGCTGACATGGCCAATCGTGCACATATGAATGGAACACGGCTGTTGCGAACTTCATCCTGGGGAGATGATTGGCAAACAGATTACGTGCCTGGAAGAACTTTTTAAGGGTGCAGCCAATATCATAGAGTACCCCAAGATTGATATTTGGGTTCAATTCACTCATTAATCGCTTGAGTATTGACATCGGCAGACCCCTTACTTCGCCTGTTTTGTGAATGTTACAGAAGTAGATGACTGAGTCATGGCGGCAGCAGCAACCAAATAGGCCAGTGTCGTCACATCCCTTCCAAGAGCTGGCATTTCGACGATCATCTGCTGCCTGATGCTGCTCACTACATCGGTCTTTCTGAGGTTGAGAGAGTATCAATGTCAGCATCAAGAACATCAAAGTATATTGTGAAATAGATAAATTAGTCATACCGCTTTTTTTGACACGCGGCGAGCTATTTCACCTTCAAGGATCTCTGCATTGGATTCTTGAAGTTCGTCAGGTCGAATAAAGAAAGGTTGGCTTTCAGCTGCCAGGTAATTTTTTGAAGCCCGCTCGTGGTGGCGGTGCTGGAAATTACCATCAAGGCAAATAAACACCCGGTTTTTGTCTTCCGGGATCCGATTAGTATTGGTCTCTGACAAAGGTGCAGTTTGTTTGTCTTGATTTGTGTTGGTAAGAGTTTCGTCTTCGTTGCGAGCTAAGAAATGGGTTGGATTGGGGGGATCTGTTGGCTGATTGTTTATCACTACTTCCTCGCTAGCTGTATTGTTGTTTTGAAATTGGGTTTGATTGGTAGAGGCAGGTGGCTGGAAAGAATGACTGCCATTAAATGCCGAGGGTGCTGGATTGGTTTGATGATTGCTATCGTTTGATGAAGATTGGTTTCTGACTGGATGCGAGACTCCGAAGCAGGCAGGACATGAACGCTGGGCCAATATGTCTTGCTGGTTATTCGATGTGATGGTCTGGACCAGATTGCGTTGCATACTCTTTAAAGTGCGGTACACATCAACAGAGGCTGACAGATTCCGGCGAAGCTCTCGCGGCTATGCAAATTAGATTCAAAAATCAGATACATGAGTAGAAAAGCCCTGTGATGGTTGACTTACCTTTGATGTGCGCTTGGCACACAGTCTCATCGAGATTGATTCGTTCCAACGCTGCAACACCTTGGTGAATGGGGTAATTTGAGCATTGCAAATATTCCATAGCAAATCGTAAAAGTTGAGTAGTCGTAGCGAGAATGCTGTCTGTGGGAATATCGGTGTGCTGGCAAGATATCCATTGGCAAGTAGATGAACCGGATCGGAAGTACAATGACAGAATTTAAAATCCACCCGAGTTTGACCTGCAAGAGAATCGTACATGTTTTAAAGGTTCCAGCATCACAACAACAAAAAAGGGAAAAAAAAGTAATTACCCATCAGATCGACTAGGTCCATTGGCCGGACAGTCAGCTTATCTGCTGTACAGCTGCACACAAGTGGCGAGAAATTTTCAAAACAGCAGGGGAGGGTCCAATTGTCGGTCTTTTTCTTCATGTGCAGGTATACAGGGAACAACGAATCCATAAGATCATTCCAATTTTGATTTCTTTGTTGCTGGATTAATCCGTAGTGGAGGGACCGTATGCGAGCTAAGGAGGAGGCGTCTTCTTCGTTCATAGTCTCTTCCGTATCTTCCCAGAGTGAAGGATCATCAAAGCCAAGTTCTTGTTGGTTTTCGGGTTCAGGTTCGACATGGAGTTCTTGAGAATCTTCTTGAAGTCCGCCTGGTGCATTGTTCCGATTCCGACTGGCTTTCAAATGCTGTCCAACTTCAGCGTTGGTCCTCTCCTTGAATAGTTTTCGAGTAGCCCTTTGCGCACGTGTTTCGGTGATAGGGAGCTGAGAGCCGTAATGAAACTTGTACAAGTCTTTCTTGCTTTTTTTAGGAGGCATGGTTGATTGTATAAGGGTTATTTGAGCTGAGGTTTAATGAATTGATGGTCGATTGCAATGAGTCAAGGCTTTTGGTAGGTTAAAGGAACAACCTGTCCTGAAAAAATCTCGAGATTATCAGACTGAAACCCTGAGATTACCCTTGAAATACAAGACAAAGTACAATCATCCAATCTCTTAAGAGCAAGGATCAAAAATTTAAACAATCAAAAAATCATAAGAATCAAAAGTTAAACAATCAAAAACTCATAAGAATAAAAATTTAAACAATCAAAAACTCATAAGAACATAAACTTAATCAATCAAAAACTCTCAAGAACAATCCCAATTGAAAAATATCAAAGTGAGAATTGCACTAAATTCAGTAGTATTTCCTGCAAAATACCTAACAATTCCAGGGGAGTTTTTTTAGATTCTGACTGTGGATAAAATGAATCAAATATCATTTCTTAAAAATCAATTCATTTATGTTATAATTTTAATTGATTATCGGTCAGTGTGGAAAGCAGAAATATTGAAAATATTAGCTCTTGCTGCCAACTGGGCCAGGGTGTGCTTTGGAGCATATTAATTTGGTCCACTCAATCTCAGTGGATAATTCCAAATCATGGAATAAGTTTTCACAAAGGTCATGGAAGAAGAATCCATGCTGTTGAATGAAGAAAAAAATCAGGTATAGATAAATGAGTGAGGGTTACTGGAATGAGTGTCTTACTGAAAACATCCAAATTCCACTAGGCACATGTTGAGTTAGGTACCTGCCAGCTAGATGGATAGTTCAGAATGTGGCTTATGTTGTCACGACGTGAAAAAGTTTTCTGGGAGTTTTTTCGAATCATGCACTGAGATTGAGGGACCAAACCAACATGTGCTAGTGGAATTTGCATATTTTTCAGAAAGACAC